CACACACACACACACACACACACACACACACACACACACACACACACACATACTAAATACTTATTTTTTAAATAGTAAATTATATAAATGAACTTATATAAATTTTTTAAATTGTTAAAACCTACACGGAAATAATTTTTTCTTAAAACTTACTCTGAAAATATAGTTATGGTATAACCCAATATTTTAAAGATTTTACTATGCACTTCAATAATCTTAATTAAACTTATTTATTTATGTTTTATTGTAGTTTTATTAATGAATGAGAGAGATTTACATAAAATTCTTTGAAATACAATATTGTCTCAGGTCTATCACATTTTTAGGGTAAATTTTAAGAAAATATTCTTTCCGTGTATATATTATATACGCGTACCTCTTTACTGATATCAGAATTTTTGTTGTTTGTATCAATTAGTTTATCGGTCTTTAAATCTTTGCCTTTTGGTGTAAACAACGCATCCTAAAAATCATTGGCAATAATATAATTAAAAAATGGTAATAAATGTTTTTAAATACGATAGTTAGAAGAAATAATCAAAATTATGTAAAATTTTGCGGATATTTACTTTTTTAAGAGGATCCCAATTTTTTATAACATTTTCTATAGCTGAAAGCTGGCTATAATAATCATTCATAGCATCAGCAATAGTTTCCAATTCCTTTGATATTTCTTGTCTTTCTGAAACTGCGTATAAGATTACAAATAAAATAAAATGTTTTCTCTCTACAAATTAATATTTGCATGAATATTTTGTTTTACTTTAAATATTACTTGGTTTAGAATTATATCTATTTTCGAGTTCTTTATGCTCTCGAATTTCTTTCGTGAAAGTGAGTGCTTTAGAAGTTTGGGATTTTTCTTCTCGACTACTGATTATTTCATTCTTTGCTTCTTCATTTATTTTTTTATTCTTAGCGGTTTGAGCATTAGATACTTGCTGAGAAAAAGAAAATTTTTGTGGAATACGTATTATCGATAAGAAACTTAAATATGAAACATTACAAATTTCATTTACATTATTATGGTAGAATCATGAAATTGGCAAGAGAAAAATTGAGAAAAATTGAGACAAAATATTATGATTATGAATATGTAATTTTCAAAGAAAATATAAATTATATGTGTAGAGAATGTATTTATGATCTATATATAAAGTTAAATTAAAGTTGATTACTTTTTTTCTTTTTAATTCCATTATTTGTTGTGAAAATTGCATTTGTCTTTGTAACGCTTCTTCTTTCTTTATTGGTAAAGTTGATTCCAAATAAAATTTTTTGTCTTCTTCCGGAAGCAACTCATATTCCGATAATGACATTTCATCAATTTCCTGAATTTTTTTAGCAACTTTTTCCGCTAATTTGTTTGCTTTATTCAAACAATTAATAACTTAAAAATTTAATTCTTTTAAACAT